TAGCAAAGCTTAAGTTGGGGGTGTGATGAGCACATAATATTGCATATTTGACGGCCTCATTACATGAATTTTAACTCAACTTTTGCATCTAAGTACTTAGAGTTAGCCGAAATTATGAATAATGTTGAATTTTCTATGTTGCAGGTAATTATAGCTTAAATGATGGATTTTAGAATCTTGCAACTAAGTGCGGAGGAGTGGTGAAGAGATTGACACATTACATAAGGATTTGGAGGCTTAAAAGTGAAAGAAATCAAGGAGGTATTAGTGTTTGGTAACATAGGCATCAGCAGCCACACCATTTTGTAGTAGTACATCGGTCTTCCTTCTTTTTGACCTTGATCCACTTCGAATCTAAAAAAGTTTCAAACATGAAAGTTATAGATCTGGATATATTCTGTATTGTGTCAAAATTTCAACTCAAGCAGAAGGTTGGATCAAACGTTATAATGATTCTATGAAAAATGATCCAGAGTAGAAGTGTACCGGTACCCCGAACTTCAGTAGCCTCAGCATACCAGTACGCATACCAATACACTCTACCAAAATAGCCCAGAACACCTGTTTTTCATGCTCCACTTACTTGAGAGTACTACCATTGATTCTCCCACTTGTCCCCTGACTTCCCTTACACATTTACATGCCTCCTACACCCTTATTGAAGACTTTGGAGGCTTGGCATTCAATGAGGAGAGAGAGAAGGGGTGAAGCCTGGGAGTGCAGGCTAAGCCTATGCTAGCCTGCATTGCCCATCCATTCAGCCCCCTATTGATGGGAGGCCTTTCACAAAGCTAGAGGAACCCTCCATGGACGAAAATGCAAGACTCACACTCCATATATTCAGTATTCCACAAGACATTTGGAGTGGCTACCTAAGCTTAGGAGTAGTTTAAGGAAGAAGATGATGAATAGTGCTAGAAAGATAAAATTGATGTTTTTGCATTTTCTTCACCCATTTCATTGCAGTAAGTTGTAGTTCTCTTGTAATCTTTATTTCTTGCATTGTAACCTCTTTTAATTCTAGTGTAATCAAGTTTAATTCAATGTTCTTGCATTTCCATAATATTTGCTGGGTTATTTCTTCTCTACAACTTTTCCATTTTAGTGTTAAATGAACTTCTCTTTGTAGTTTACTATTTCCTAGCATTAATACAAGTTCTAAATTTCATTTTCATCTCATTTTCATTTCCATTTCAATACCATGTCTCTTTACATCATATATGTCTTTCCCTTTAGCATGAGTAGTTAGATTTTAAGTTGGCTAATTCAAGGGATTACTCCTCTTGGGAATGCCAAATCAACTCACTTTCTTTCCTCCTCTCAGAGTACGATAGTTCAGTTTGACTGGGTTAAGTGAGGACATGGTTGTGAGTTCTTGATACACCATAAGCATTGTCACGGTGTATGCTTGAATCCTCACCTCCATTTTAGTCTCGAGCTTCCCACGAATTAATCGTTCATCTAAGCTCTATTTGAGGAAGACTTCGAGTTGATTTAGGATTCCATTGGAGTGAACCTTTTGAATTAACCAACACTTGTTTCTGATTTCATTTTCATCAAAAACACAACCCACAAAACACAACTCAAAACATTTTACACTTTTTATTTTCACAAAATCACCTTCACACACTTAAACTTTTCTTCCCTAAGGAGACGACTTTGGAATACTTTTTCAAGTAAAACAATGACACACAAAAGGCTCCTTGCGCTTGGGGAGCACTTTTGTTCACATACGCATTTCATTCCACACACATATTTTGTTCATTTCATTCCATTCCATCCACCATTCTGTTGCCCCATCTCTTGCATCATTCTGAGGGAGAGTGACACGCCCTTATACACATAAGTCATAGACACATTGAGGGATGATGTTTAGAGGTGAGGAATTTGCAATGAAATACAGCAAGCAACGTTCAAGCATAATTGTGTTATATTCATCAACCCATATGAAATAATTATCATGCTCACGCCATCGTTAATATCTTGTTCTTGTTTTTAGGAAAAAAACTTCATTTAGAAAAGAAATTGACTTTAGGAAAAGAGCTTATTTTTGGAATGAAGTTAATTTTAGGAAGGAACTTCATTTTAGAATTTTTAATCCTTTTTAGAAAACTATACTAATAATAAAAGGTAGTTAATGAGAAAAACTATTGATTTTCTATTCTACCCCTACTTAATTATATAAAGACAATCATATCATATTTTTCACTTTAATTCTTAGACCCTTCCCTTTTTAGGACTAAATATTTGCAATTACTAGTGCAATGAGTATATCGTATTACCTATGGAAAGACCTTTCATATTCATAACACTACAGAAATTTATAAAACAATATAAGAATAACAATGCTCTCTTTCCAATCCTTCACTTTCTAAATAATAGAGAAATCTTTTCTTTTTAAATAATAGAGGCTACTAGTATTTTTGTTCTTCTCAGTAACTTTCATAGCGCTCTCCACTTCTGTCTTTATCTTTCATTCTCCTTTGCAAGTTATCATGGATCTTATGAAAGTAGCATTTGCAAACGATATTGAATAATTTTTTTTTGAACGGTAATGATATTGAAAATTATGAACTCAAAGTGCATGAATTCTTGGCTGTTTATGTGATTCTTTTTTTGTATCAATACTTAGCTTTATTTGATGTTGTCTTACTATCAACTAATGTTTTGATAATTTAATTTGAGTGTAATCTAGGACTTTAAGAGAGTGCGATGTGTCTTGTTCACTATTTAGATTTAATATTTTTTTATTTATCTTATTTTTTGTTTTTATTTAGAAATTTGATTTGTCATGGTCTTGGTGTCTAAGATTGGACTGTTAATTTTTATAAAAACTATACTCAAATTTTACTTGTTAATTAATTTTTTATTCACTTTTATTGAGTTTTTATCTGTTTTTTGGTCTTCAATTATCAAACGTTTATTGTAAGATTGTAATTTTTTTCAATCGAAAGATAATTTGGGGTGAGAAACTCTATATTCTTAATGGGAAGTCTAGAAAGTGTAGCCAACCAATAAGTAATCAAATTGACCACCTAATGTGTTTCTTTTATTTTCTAACTTCACACTTATTTTATGCGTACATTAACCACAAATATGAAATAATCTAAGTAAAAAGTAGAAAATAAAAGAAAATATAATTTAAAATGGTCCACATACAAAATACATGGCCCCCAACTAGTATCAATAAAGGTATGTGTGAAATTACCATCATTGGTCATGACTTTCACATACCCACCACCACTAGAAATTTAATTATAGTAGTAATCTTGTTCTCAACTTTAATTATTAAAAAATTAATTATACAAATATGATAATTTAAAAGTTAAGAATAAAAATTGTATTTTCAATTAAAATTATCGTTTTCCAAACAACGCAAGCATTTTGAGTTTATTTACTAGGACTAACTAATAAAAGGCCTAGAGCCAGAAATGATCTTAGAAACCAATTGTACTCCGGTAAAAAATCTCAATATCGGATTTGCCTAAAAAAATTGCGTTTTCATTATGGTCTTACATAACGACAATTACTTAAGTGCATTCATATTGCCAGAAAAGCCAAGGGGTCAACAGGTCAAGTTTTACTACAATTACTTGAAATATGTTTGGATAACATCTTTTTTTGATTGGATATGTCTCCGACTATTCTCAAAGCCCGCCAAATAGTTAATCATAGATATATTTTAGTTAATAGTTGTATAGTGGATATTCCAAGTTATTACTGCAAATCCCGGGATATTACTACGGCGAGGAATGAACAAAAATCCATATCTCTAGTTCAAAATTCTCTCGATTCATCCCCTCATCAAGGTGACAATGGTGATACCACGTGGCAATATAATGTGTTATCACTTACCAATAATATTAAAACAAATAATTAAATAGATCCCACAAAATCTAATAGTTAACTTGTCATGTAAACAAATAACTTCTTACTCTTTTTTCGTGTAAGTCTAAGTGAGTTCACCTTACTCACTTAGAATTTTATTATTGGTTAGTGACATCTTGTCATCAGTGGTGACATGGTATCACCATTACATTTAATATTTACTTGAATTGCCAAATGTTTAACTCTTCATTCATTCCAATACAAAAGATTAGTCAATCAAATAATAAATAATAAATATTATTAACGAGTATCGATAACACTGGCGACTATCTATATTTTAATGTAAAATTGCATAGAGTTATTATGTTGCTACATTGGGTGGGTTAAAATATTATGGGTCAAATAACAAGAAAATAAAATGAAATATGTTACTTTCGACGTCCCCTTCATCTTCAACTGCTACCCATTTAAAAGAAAAAGAAAGAACTGTTGACCGATTCTGTGTTGATTGAGTGTGCATCCTTCTACTAGTGGTAGTTGAATTCTATGAAGCTTGATGATGCACAAACAATCTCGTTTAAGATTAACAGTAATTAATCATAGTAACGTAAATATAGAGTCAATACACAGATATATAATGATTCGATTCGAGTGACCTACTTCACTCTCAAAAAAGGCAACAGTGACGAGGGCTCTTTATAAATTAAGAAAGAGAAAGTTCCGGGATAGATGTTCCCGAAAAAGAGAAAGTATGTGTAGAAGGGAGTAGAGGCAAATGTCAATGTACAGTGAGATGTCAAGATATGTCGTGAGATGCCTCTCTCAATAGAGAGTGTTTACAATTTATAAGCATAGTGAGACACTAATGTGAGTCTGAGGATACTAATTTTTTGGAAAGAATAATTATAAAAAGTAAATATAATTAATGTAACTTTAATTCTCAGAAGTGTTTATTCCCATATTCCTCTTCACGTGTTCTAATTATTTTTGGACGCTTCGGACTGTGGGTTAGGTCGAATTCAGGAGCTGAATTTAACTTCTTCCGACTGATTTTGCTGATTTGAGCTTATTTGGTTTATTGGGCCCGACCAAATGATATTTTGGCCGTCAAAGCTTACAAATTACACTTCGCCTGGGATTGGAAGGTAAGTTTCTGGGTATATGTATATATATATGTGTGTGTGTGTGTGTGTGTGTGTGTATTCGCTAACCCCCATTAAAAGAGATGGATACTATTAACTACTAATCAATGAGATGAATCTCCGATTCAGGAATCAGAAATGCTAAACCTTCTGTCCCAAGTTATTGTGGTCTTTCTCTGAAAAGAACCAGGTGAGTTTTTAGATCTTCCAGTTCTTATATTACGGTTCCTAGCTTTACTAAATTATGGCTTATCCCAGCAATTTGAAGATTCGATTAAGATCCGTGCTTTGGGAATCTAATTTGAAGATGAACTAATTCAATGCGACAATCGAATTTGTTGTAATTTTTAATGTTAGATTTAGCTCATTTTCAATTCAATAGCCGTAATTGATTAGGTCCAAGATTAGGTAGTCCAAATACCATTTTCCTTCAATTAAATTAAGGCACCATTTGATACTCTATATGGCGTTAAGGATGATGCCATGGTGGGTTTTGGTTATCCGTTGGAGGCATCATAGCAGGGTGATGGAAAGATATAGAGAAGTGAAGCGGTGGAGAGAGATGAAGACATGTACATGAACATGAGAGAATATAGGAAGGGGGGGGCGTAAATGCATGGGTAGTGAGAAGTTAGATTAATTGGGACTTTTAAGTGGGAGTGTGAGGTTGACATAGATAACATGCCGGCAAGTTGAGATAGATAAGGATACTACACCAGCAGTGTGTGTTAAGTCGAAAAACTTAATGAACTGTCTGGTTAGGAATTAAAATGATACGGATAGAAACTTTTGGGATCAAATTGATAAAATTAATACGATGATGACGACTAAACTAACAAAACATACATGCTTTAATGACTAAAAGAGCTATTAAGTGTTTAAAAAAATTACCAAACAGTAGCTATGGTTTGATATTATTTGCATAAAATGATGTTAGAATAATTAGCAAGTTTGATCCTGCTACTCGATAAGGGATGGTCCTAAAAAGGGTGGACATGTTGAAATACTCTATCTATGGTTTTATTGTCTAGCTATGTGCTCTTTGCTAATGTTCTGGAATGAAATTATCTTGTATTCTTGCTAGAAATCATAAAATAAATCTATACTTTTAAACAGAACTGAAAAAAATAGGATATATTTGGTACCGTAATCTAAAAGGCACTACATGTGCAACATCAAAAGAACCATCAACATTAGGTTACAAGAATTTTATTTCCAATTAGTTCCGAAAGAAGTTGTCACTCTGGTCGTCTTGTATTTAAAGAGGAAGACTTCAAGAGTTATATTTAAGTATCAAATATACCTTTGGGAAACTATCAAGCCACTGACCAAAGAGGAAGACATCAAGATTTATATTTTAATATTAGTCGCAACTCTGAGAAACAATCAAGCCACTCATTGCAATGCTTTCATTTGTTTCTAATGCTTGTAAATAATAGAGTTAATCATTGGCTTGGTTTGTTAATCATACTTGTTACCAATTAAGAACTTTTAAAAGTGACTTTTGAATGTGATCATAGCTCAACGTAGAAAAAAAAATTTGGGAAAAGTAAAGGCCAAGAAAAACAATGTGACGACGATTAGTTTGAGTATACAATTCACTTTGGGACTTCTTATTTTTCAAACTTAAGAAGTGATGCTTGACAATGAAAGTAACTTTGGGACTCCTCGTCGCTCACCTACATTTCATAGCAACCTTATGAATGCTCTTCAATGAGTAGTATTCATAGCAACACTTTTATCATATATCATCCTCTTGGAGTTCAAACACCATTATTATGTAGCTAAATGTTTTTTTAATGATAATACAGGTACACCATCTACGTAGTTCTTGGTCATGGGTTCTCCCTCAAAATACCAAGAACTTCATACACTAGTGGAAAGTGGAAAGATTGAAGATAGAATAAGCCGTTTGCCAGATGGAATCCTCTTCCACATTCTATCCTTTCTTTCCACCAAGTATGCAGTGGGAACTAGTGTTCTATCAACCCGATGGAAGTACCTTTGGACCTTTACTCCCAATCTTGAATTTGATGATACAATGTTGTTTACTACAGAAGAGTCTAACGAACACACAATAGAAATGTGCTTCATGAATTTTGTGGACCGGGTGTTGAATCTTCACAACATGTCTTATATAACAAAATTCAGCCTTAATTGTTGTCGGGACTATGATTTGTCTATTGTTGAGGCATGGCTTTCTACTGCAATTAAGAAGAATGTTCAGGAGCTCAATCTCCTATTGTTTAGGAATAGCCCCATCGACTTACCTCGAAGCCTTTATACATGTGACTCACTCAAGGTCCTTAAGCTAACTCAGGATATCACTTTTGATGTTCCTTCAGATGCCCATCTTCCAAATCTCAGGGTAGTACATTTAAAGTCAGTTCTATTTCATGATGGGAACTCTACACAACGGCTAATTTCTGGATGTCCTGTTCTTGAAGATTTAGTTATAGATAAATCTGGAATTGATGATATAGAGGTTTTCAATATATGTTCTCCTACATTGAAGAGTTTAACAATTTCTTGTTGCCTAGAAAACTTAAAAGATGATTGCAAATGCACTTTTCTGGTTGAAGCCCCAGCCCTTGAATATTTTGAGCTCGAAGATATTGAATTGAACCAGTATAGTTTGACAAATTTATGTAGCCTAGTCAAAGCAAAAGTTGATGTTTTGTTTGGCGGAGAGAGAGCTTTTGAGATACTTCAAGGAATCTTCATGGTGAAATGCTTATCATTGTCTTATTTTATGGTGCAGGTAAGTATACTCTTTTCTAGTTGGTAATTACCAGAAAGAAAAAAAAATATGCTCTTTTTTCTTGACATTCTTTGTTTCTATTGACACTTCAACAATTGAAACTTCTCACAATTGCAAAACTTTTGTTACTTGTGCAGACTCTCTATGAATCCAATAAGGATTTTCCCATTTTTCGGAACTTGATCTACATGGATTTGGCGGATGAGAATTATGTCTGGCAATTGTCACAACTGTCTCAGCCTCCTGAAACTGGTTCTAACCAAGATGCTATAAACAAGTTACTTGAAAGTTCACCCACCCTAGAAGTTCTCATTCTAAATGCTGTAAGTCTACTGGTGATCTTCATTCCACTTTTTCTTTTCTGTGTAATAGTAGTAGCCAAAATTGATGATTCTTTCGTCATTAGGAGCACCTGGGTCTTTCAAACTGGAGTCCTCCGCAACGTGTGCCTAGTTGTCTTGTGTTACATCTCGAGGCACTAGAAATCAGAGGATTCAAAGGGGAGGAAGAGGAGATGCGTCTTGTTAGTTACTTTTTGGAAACTGCAAAGGTCTTGAAGAAGATGACAATTGTTTCTGATGGTTTAGATGTGGAGCAAGAGTTGATTGTTTCCAATAAAGTCTTATATTTACCAAGGGGCTCTGAAGATTGTCAAATTAGCATCTCTAAGGCTTTATCTTAAAGCTTTTTCCATGTTGTATAGTGTTAAAAAGAAGGGTAATATTCCCACTAAATTGACTATACTTCATTAATTCCTCACGTTGAGTGTATCTGCTTGAAGAATTTTGTGGGCATTCTGTAACTTCTTTTTATTCAATTATCAAACGTCAAACGGTTGTGTGTTTTTGTGGCAGATTCTTGAGACAACCCCCGAGACTTTGGAAACTGTACATTGGACTCTTCTTCTTTCTAAATCAGGCGGTGATGTCCTTGACGTCGTAAAATCGTTTAAGGTAAAATAACTTGGTGTAGGCAAAATAGTAAAATGGGATCGTGAAAATTTTATCTCACATGAGCAAGATTAATTGTTCATGTGGTGGCGGAGCTTATCACACTTTCATTAAATTTTCTACTATTTAGATGTCAATACTAATATAAAATATCAACAAAAGTGTAATTTCCTTGATGAGTCTTCCTTTTTTCTTATTCAATTAATTACATAATCCTTTCATCTTTCTAAATTAATTGTGTACAGAATCTTGACATTTTATTATATTCATTTAAACTTCAATTATTATTTTTTGTTACATTTTTATTTTCTCTTGGTCAATTATATTATATCTACCAATAAAACTCACGTATTGTTAAAAAACTATAATTTACTATTTTAACCTTTATCAATTTTGTAAAGTCAATCACATCATACTCTCTTATCTTATTTGACAAAACAGCCTCTCTCATATAAGCAATGAAAAATGTGTAAAAATTAGTCTTTGCAAAGTGGTCAATTTCGACCCTAATCCGATAATAATTTATAATTTATTTAATTTAAAATTATTTGAATTATTGGTTCAAGCTTTAGAACTACCTAATTAACTGATTTTTTACGCCAAATTGTAGGTATGATGGAATGTTTCATCATCTACCCAAAGCCATGGAACCACAATTACTGTATGTGAGATTATGAGCAACTTTTCTGACACTTGTATAAAACAAGAATTCTAAGTTCACTGGTTTTTAAGTTTAATAACAGAATTGATGCATTAAATTTGTGCAAGGGACACCATTGATTCAACGTAAGAGCTTAAAAATATGTATGTCATTGTTAATCGCCTGGCATTCAAGCTTTACAAATGAATACAAGAAAAATAATTCAAGGGAATTAATGTGAAAAGGTCGGAAAACGAACAGAGAAAAGGGACAAGGAAGGAGAAAAACGAACAGAGAGGGCTGGTTGAGGTTATTTAAATAAATTATGTGACAAACGAAGAAACGTGTTTATCAAATACGCTTCATTCAATAAAAATGTGTTCTTCAAAGACGTTTTTTAAAGTTAAAATTGTTCTAAATAAACAGGCTTTTAAGTGAAATTGTATTTTTTAAACACAATTGTTAAGTATAGCCACTTAAACGTTTGACTTTAAAATCGTGATGTATATACATGCTAGTTTATTACTAGACTAATTAGTGGTGTTGAAATTTTCGATTAGTCATAATTTTCTATTCTATCGACCCTATTAAACACCTAACCAAAAAAATCGAGTAGGAATGCGTAAAAAATTTTGATTTTTTGATTAAATTGGATAGAAATACGGAATAGTCACAAATTCTAACCATATGGTTTAAACTTAAAATAATTATTATTGTATTTATGCATCAATTATGATGGATTGATGTTTATACTTTCTTGTATTTTATTGTAATGTTGTTGTAATTGTTTTAAGTTTTAGTGTTATTGGTTTATTGTGCTGTTAAATTTGTGCATGTTATTTAATTAAATTGTTAAAATAATTTAAAAATTAATAACTAAAAAAGTGTTAACCCGATTTCCTATCTGACTTCCTACTTGATTAATTTGGTCGAAAGTCGGGTGAAAATATCACACTTGATCAAGTAGGATAGGCTAAAAAAAATTCTTCCGTAAAATATCAGGTAGGAAAATAAAAGATTATATTTTCTACTCGTAGGGTAAAGTGAACACCTTTAACACTAATCAACCGATTTATATTTATAAAAAAGGGGGGGGATAATTTTATTTTGCACTTCAAAAGATGTTTCGATTTTTAATTTATACTCTCAAATATTAAAATTTTAATTTATATCCTCAATATTATGAATTAACAGGTGAATTTGATCTAAACTATCATTCAGTTTTTTGTCATTCAAGTACAAGTGCTTCAGACATGTTGATGGGTTATATCCATCACTAAAACTCTTAATTTACGATCAATTTAATACAGTGTATCAAAAATAATTTTTTATTAATCAGATTAGAAGTGTTCAAATTTTTTATTACTCACAAATTTTAACCCTACCTTACCCGACTCTATTGATCGGCTATCTAGAAGAATCAAGTAGGCCAACGGAAAAATTTTGGTATTCCAAAAAAAATCGGGTAGTAATGCGGAATATCTATAAAATTTTTGTATTCTTACCCTACCCTACTGGTATATATATATATATATGTGTGTGTGTGTGTGTGTGTTAATCCTTCAAAATTAAAATCTAAAAATTTAAAATTTTAATGTTTTATTGATGTTTATGGCAATAACAAGAAAAAGGGTATTAAGCGATCTCGCAAGATTCAGTTTTCCAATTTAGAATCCTATGGAAGGAAAAAGAATCCAAGGCAGTAGCACGGTACGGGATAAGTCTTGTGTTCTCGGTGCTTAGTGTGAAATGACTTAGTTAAGAGAACGTAAGATCCCGGCAAAGGAAGAAGGTGGATACTACGTTGATTTTGATTCGTTTCTTATATATGATGTATCGATAGTTATGATTTTTTTTGTTGTGTTTTATTGTACTTATTTATATATTATCAAATTTATTATATTTTTTTAGTGTTATTGGTTTATTATGTTAGTTAATTAATGCAGTTTATTAAATTAAATTGTTAAAATGATCCAAAAATTAATAACTAAAAAATACGTATTCACCTGATTGTTTTGGACGAAATTTGGGTATGAATAATAGTATACTTGATTGGGTAGAATAAGACAAGAAAAAATTCTTCTGCAAAATATCAAGTAGGAAGATGGAATATCGTAATTCCAACTTATAAGTGAGCACCACTAAATCAGATAGAGGTTAACCTTGTCACGTGCTACTCACATGAGGCACCAACAAACTATGAATTTAAACATACACATATTCTCAAAACACTTGTAACTCACGTACTTGAATTTATGACGGAAAACTGAACAACAGTCTATGTCAGATTCACATTGTTATCAATTCATAACATTAAGGATACAAATTGAGATATTTAATGTCTGAAGTTACAAATTAAGAATCAAAGTATCTTTTGAGGTGCAAAGTGAAATTAGCCCTAATGTTTGAAGGTATAAAGTGGGCAGTTCCTTTATTTGTTTTCAACTTTCCTATTATTATATTTTGCAATTGTACAGTTGGACTTTGCCTAGAGACATTTATTCAGTCAATTACAAGTTTATTGGAAACTATAAAATCTTGGTAAATTTGAACCTTTTCTGAAAAATGGTAAAATTATAATTTATCACTATAATGCAGAATTAAAATACGTATTTATATAGAGCTCAGATGAAGCAACGGATTTCACCGTTGGATTCATCTCGCGAAATCGAGTTGCCCAGACAATTTTCGTTGAATTCTGAGATAATCGAATTTTTACGTTTTACGAGACAACTGAGTGTCGAGTGACCTAACAAATGTTCCCAAAAATAAATTTTATAAAAGTTCTTTATAATTAAAGAAAAGTTCAAATAAAAATAAATTGAGCTTAAAATGGGATGAAATTAAGTCGTTTCGAGATAAAAACGAATTTAAAAATAAGAAACGTGTGGTGCGACATGGACCACATAACTAAAGGGAATAAAATAGGAGAAAATATTTGATCTTCCCCACTTGATTAGCTGATTCTCAAGTTAGAAAAGGAAGAGAGTGAAGGGAGAAAAGAAAAAAATAGAAAATTAAGACTTCTCTTTACGATCTACGAAGTTCCACCGGTCGAAATCCTTCGGACTAAGAGTTAAAGTCAATCACCTCGACGAAAGCTACACTTACGTACCAAAAACGAAGGATTTCACCGAAGATCCAAAGAGGAGATTTAAAAAAATCAAAAGTTTTGGGCTTGGGATGTGTCCTTGAGACTTTCTACCACTTTTGTCAAACTCCAAGAGGTAGAGTTTCCTCCTACTCAGGTTTATTTCTTGCCTAGGATGTTATATGGGATAGGTAAGTGTATATAACAATATAAGTCACTTGCCTATTGTTGTTGATATGTGGGAATGAGTATGAAAATGGCCTAAATCAAATTCTAGCTTGAATTGATATGGAAATGGCACTTGTGAAAATTCTTGGAATTTAAGATTATGTGGCATGCTATGTGTTAATATTGTGTCTTGTGAATAAAGCATGTTATTGACATAGATTATGTAGTAATATGTTTGTGAAATGTTATTGAGTATGAATGAGTTAATATATGTTGTTAATATATTAGCATCATGATGGTTGTGGTAATTCTATGCATAGGATATAAATTGTCATGGATATGTTGACATGAGGTTTATGTGCTCATTGACATTCATTGCATAATGGGCATGAAGTTGACATTGCATTCATGGGCATTCGACATGAGTGTGAGTGTGTGTGTGTATGGTGTGATCAAACCCCATACTTGGCGATCGATGGGTGAGCTCAAGAAAGTTGGATTGAAGATCCGACTGAGTCGCATGGTTACACGAAGAAAAACTTGTGTCGGTTATAGCAAGAAGGGATAGAATCTCCCTCGGGTGCAAAGTCCGGCTACGTGGTTCATACACTCCCCTATGGTGAAATTCTAGAAAAAGTGTAATGGCGTACGGAGCTAACGATGTGATTCCAAAATCCGATACTCAATAAAGACGCATGATTTTATTTTAGAAAAGTACTCATTTGATGGGCAATATTCAAGAATGATTTGGTTTTATAAACACGTAAATGACATTGTGTTGTGGGAGTCGGTGAGGACTCAGGTTAAAATGCATTAGTGAGTCTCATCTCATATCATGATAGACATGGTAAAATTTTCATCTTGAATTACATGTTCTTGATTGAAATGGATAATGGTTGTTGATTGTTGTATGTGCATATTTTATATGCATCTAGGAGGGAGTAACCTCTGTAGGAGATATTTTATTGAGCGTAGCTCACTCTATACGGGAAAATATTTCAGGTGCGGGATATACGCCGACGGAAGGCCCTCATACGGGACTTCAAGGATAAAGAAAGCCGAGATATGGCTAGTTTTTGTAAAAATGTTATGAAAACTTAGTTTTGATATGTAAATTTATGTAAATGAATATAATAAAACTAGTATGGATCATGTGTAATGTGAAAAACTTCATTAAACATGTATGAGATGGTGGTGGAATGGATTGAGATGAGTTGGAAATGAAAAGCAGGTGAATAGGCAAAAGTCGGCCGAGCACACCGGTAGGGCGTACCGGTATGACGAGGTCCAGTGGGCAACTCGTACCGGTACACCTTCCAAAAATCTGAAATTTTAATAATGTTTTGTTATATTTTTGGGCCTTGGGTTCTTTGGTTCCAAGAATATAAATGAACATAAAATAAAAATAAATTGTGATATGTTGAACCTGATTGGATCAAATGGTAAAATATGCATATGTTATACGCGTGAGTAACAATTCTAATTAAAGGGATTCTCTTAACATGATGTCGGATTGGACAACAATCATGGATATTTTCATTGATTGACAGATGGTCAACGATTGACAAAAAACTTCCGATTTTAGAGACGTCACGTAAACTATCAAAATCCAAGTTTATTAAAAATGGGATTTCGCCAAATTCAATTATTAGAAACCAAGAGAGAGGCCAAGGATAAACTGAAAATATATTTAACCAATAATAATATTTATATGCGTTAGTAACACTTTTAATCTTAAAGTATGTATTTTTTATCAGTTTAGTCCTCATTACATAAATTTAATTAATTTAACTCCTAAAATATTTAATTCATGTCATTTTGGTCCCTCCATAAATGAACTGTTACATTTTTTACGGAATGATCACGTATTAGATACATGATACCGTTTAAAAAAATAACACATGCTCACTTCCATCAAAAAAATTGACGGATTGTCTAATTAGATACTAAAGTGATACATGTTAAATATTTTAAGAACCAAATTGACAAAATTTATAATATGAGGATTAAACTGATAACAAATATATATTTTAGGGGCCAAAAATACAATTACCCCTATTTATATATATGATTTTTTTTCAAATGTAAACTTTAGCATTTTTTTTCCAAGCATCGATTCGTAGTTATTTAACAAAATCTTTTAAAGATCTTGAATTTATCTTCTATATACTATAACAATCAATCATTTTCTTTGGAGGAGGCTTGGGAAAGGTTCTCTCCTATTTTTCTAAAAGTCTAATTTTTTTTTAATAATTAAATGCGAATTCAAGATTTTCTCTCATCATAACTATCACACAGGATGCTTGCTAGCTCTATTTTAAAAGAAAATTTCTTCTTATTATGCGTAGTGACTTGGAGATCGTGGCATTGTGTATTAATACTCCTAAATAAAGCGAAGTTGTTATTGGATCGATCGAATACTAATTAATCTTAATTTAAGTTACTTTATTAATCATATATGATGCATTTAATACGAACTCGACTCATATATTAGTCTAAATATATGAGTAATTAACACTTATAATGCGTGAACTATAAAATTAAATATCAGGATCTATTTTCTTCTCAACTAAAATTAAGACTCATAATCATCCCATACACTAAAAATTGCTTAATCTCTATGTTAGCATTACCAAAAATGAAAATCTTCTAATTTTGCAAATATTCTTACAATATCCTATCAAAAATGAAAAAAAAAATTAAAAAAATGACATATTCTCTAATTAATTCCGTAAATCGTATCAAACTTAAGTTATCTATGTAATATTAACTTGGGTCATCCAACATTTATGCTTAGATTGCATTATTTTTAAGTTCGTGGTAAGAACTACTCCACCCTAACTACTAATTTTTATCGAATTCGTATGGAATTAAATCGGGATTTCAATAATTACCTGCAATTAAAGAAAATGTTAGATTCGGATAATTGGGTTGGGTCCTATAGTAAAACCCATTCCCAATTATCCACAGACCCACTCGGGTTGGGTCCACCTGCCATGCTTCAAGGCATAACAGCGTCCCTGTGTGTGTGTTGTGTTGTGTTGGGCAGCTATGCCTCGGAGTATATCACGGTCGCCGTCGTACAGGCGGCGTTACTCTCCCTCACCTGTCAGTTACAAGCACAGCCGGCGCAGCAGAAGGGACCGAAGCCGCTCACCTTATTCTAATTCTCACGGCAGGTGATTTCATCAAATCTCTTGCCCTTTGATTTTTCACTTTCCAACTTACTGCACTTTATCCTTCGTTTATAATATCAGTGAAATTGTGAACATTTAATATATTCACTGAAGAAATTAAACACAATGACTGCTTTTATATATACAGACATATATGTTGCTTAGAGATGTATATGTTGTATGCATTCAATTTTGCAAATTCATCCTTGTTTTATGTAATTTTGCCAACTTTTTGTGTAATATTCCATGTACACACATAGTGTCTGGTTGTAATTTTGGTAATCTGGAATGCTGCATTTGGAATCGTTGCCTTGGAATCAAAATTGAAGATAAATTAATCATTGTATATCAGTATGCCCAATTTTTGTTAAAGAGGGTTTTCTTTATAGGCGAACATGGGTTAACTGGATGACTAACAATTTTTGTTTTATGTGTGGTTTGGCCGTGTTGCTTCACTTTTGACTTTTTCCAAAACCCCTCTAATCTGATTCTGTGACACATTCTTTTGTTTAGTAAGATTTATGTTTCAATGGAAGATTGAGAAGCATTTAAGGACCAGTGTTTTGGTAAACCGTAAAGAGTTCCAAAGTGACAGACGATACATGATGTTTACGAGAGCACATAAAGAAATGGGTGGCTTTCCAATCTTACAAAATGTTAACAGATTGCCAGTGTGCATAGGTGTTTGGTTGTTTCTCTGGGACATAATTTATGTGTTTTCCTACATGATTCTAATATATGAGTTGACAATGTACAGCATTATTGGTCATTTACAACTTGGAACCAAGGACCACACCAATTCAAATTTTCAGTTAACTAGGCTCCCAATCCAAATTCAGTGGCACATATTTCATGCTTCCAAACACATTGTTAGTATAGTGCTATTATATTTGGTGTTATTTAACAGGCGAAGAAGTCGTTCGGCCACCCCTCGTCGTCGTAGAAGTCGTTCACCAACTTTGAGGCGCCGAAAAAGTCGGACTCCAACACCTAGGCGCCATAAGAGGCAAAAAAGTAGGAGTACGTCATTGTCTCCTTTGCCTAAGTCCCAAAGTCCAAGTCATTCATCAATCGAGCGCAAAAATGCCATTGAAAAATTGAGAAAGGAAGAAGATGAAAAGAAAAGGTATATCTACATTTTGTTGCTTATGTTGATGTGTTTTCACTATTCTCTTTTACATTCTGAAGTTGTATGTTCTGGGAAGATCAAAAAGAACAACCAAGCTCAATGTCAGAACAATGCAATTATCTGAAGGTGTATTTACTGCTTTGATTGTCTGGATTATTCACTCCTATATATAATTAATTCTTATTTTATTAGAGGACGGGACAGATGTATATAATATCTGTAAACAAGGAGGTAGTGAGGAGTGTTGGGGTTGGTTATTCATAACTCATACAAAGGAAGAGGGTAGAGATGTTGTTACTCGCAGAATTAAGGCAATGAATTAATATGAAGAGTATATCTAGTGTATTATGCTTTCTGGTACGGTACTACCAAGGACCAAGTTCAAAACTCTACTGTGACTGAAATTTTTGGATGGTAAATAACGAATGATATGCAAGCGAAAAATGATATAACAATAAATGAAAATGCTTTTGAAATGTTAGAGACGCTATCAATAAAAGATACATTGAGAGGATATGATACCAATCGGAGATTGATGTGATGCCACATGATGTTAATGCTAGAGGTAGAGGAATACTAAAGAAGGATATGGTAGCTTGTGCTTATTGTAAACATCATTCAAAACAAGGCACAATGGCAGGGCAAAACTCATGTAACCAACCCTAAATAATGACAACAAGGCTTTGTTGACTCAGATTGGGCTGAGTTTTATTAGAGCGCAAAAGAATACCTCCGCACATGCTTTGTTTAGGCTTTCATGTCTCTGAACGACCTTTTTGAGAGGAAAAGTGCTGGAAAAAACTATCTGCTGAAACCTACCATTTTTTATGTATGATAAAACATCCTCTACAGCTCATTAAGGGAACTTTATGCTGTTTGTTATCTCGGAAACACTGAATTTGTATTTTTCATGTAGCAGGTCATGGACAATAGTCAACTGGGATAATTTTTGCTAATCTTTGGAATCTACATCTATGTATTTTATATGGTTCATATATATTGCATATTTTCAAGTAAAGTCCCCGTCCCCACTACCAGTATGTAGATCTAGAGGGCATACTCAATCATGGAAGGTAAGTGTTGGTTCTTGTTGTATATACAATTAACTTGACATGGAGTATTGAAGCTCATGGCATACTTTACAATGTATAAATAGGTTGCTGCCAAATAGTTACGTGATTCTACTACTGGATAACCTTCAAATCTTTGAAGGCAGTCATACTCCCAAACTATTTTCCCCGGGATGATGTAAGATACGGGACCTGTCGCGGTGCTATAAATTTTCCTCTGTTGCTGGGTTTCCATTATGCATGTTTTGTACATTCAGGAAACCCTTCATGCCATATTATTTGGGAATCATTTATCTTCTCCACCTCTTGATTAACACTGAATCATATCATGTGGGACTCATCTTTTTTTTAGCTCAAAGACAAATTGGGCCTGCATATCTTTTGATGATGACTTTTTTTTTAAAAAAAAAAAAAAAAAAACTGGTGGGCTTGTACCTGCATTATGTGGATAAAATGTAAGTATCTTCAATCAGCACTCAGAGACAAAAAACGTTAAGTATATTCAATCATCGCCTGAGTACACAAACATATAAGTATAATGCTGGAATGGCTTTTGGTTGTTATTGCTGGCCATGCTGTTGAAGCTATAATTCTAAAATTCTTTCAAAATTAATTACGATTTAAGTGATGGTGAGAAATTTTTTACTTTAATTGTAACATTTCTTTCCACTGTCATTCTATGCTAAAGTGCTAATGTTGTGTTCAAGAATCGAAATTTCGTTTCGAAGTACTGTTTCGGTCAGCTCAAAAATGGAAATGTTTCGGAAACGCATAAAAAATATGGAAACGCATAGAAACACAAATACAATCCATTAATTTATAAAGATATGCTAAATAATTGATTAATTCAACATATTTATTGGGTTAACATCTATTTATACAAGAATAAATTTAAATTTGAGGGAAAAAAAGGCTTGACATGAGGCGAGAGTCACTTAAATTAGTTTCAAACACTTAATTTTTATGAAATAAACACATTTTTACATAATATTAGGGTCTTATAATACACATGAAATGCTAATGAGTACATACTTACATGGCTACATCCATCCCCCTGTAGAGTGTCAAGCAGGCTCATACATCGGTGTAGGCTCTGGGTAGTTACTTAGAGAAACTCCATATGTGACATAAATATAATGACAATAGTTACTCCAACTCATATTATTACGGTAATATTATCCAATTAATAATACTATTTTATTATAATACTAATAATGAAGGATATCAAATTAAATTAATGGTACTTATGTATATTTAAAAATTAAATGTAATTGCAGTGGGTATTAAATGTAATTACAGTGAGTATTAAATATAATTACATTAGGGTATTAAATGTAATTGTTAATACTTATAACCAAAAAAAAGAAGCAAAAGACTTGCACAGTAGTAGGGTATTAAATATAATTACAGTAGGTATTAAATATGATTACAATGGGTATTAAATACAATTACAGTAGGGTATTAAGTGTAATTATTTATTCTTATAACAAAAAAATTATAAAAGACAGAAGAGTAGTGGGAATTAAATGTAATTATAGTGGGGTTTTAAATATAATTATAGTGGGTATTAAATGTAATTACAGTGGGTATTAAATGTAATAATAGTGGGGTATTAAATGTAATTATTCATAGTGAACCGAATATATCACTGTTTCGTCGAAACGGTCCAAAACAGTGTCGTTTCGACCAAAACGGTCCGAAACAGTGCCGTTTCGACCGAAACACTGGAATTTTGTGATTCAACTACTGTTTCATTTCGGAGTATTGAAATTCCGAAACGTTTCGGACGTGTCGACACGACATTTTGATCCTTGGTTGTGTTGTTATAGTGAAGACTAAAGAAACAATCATATGGATTTTTCCTTTTTTCTTTTGTTGCTGCTTCCATCCACCTTAATATCAGCTTAACTGGGTGTCTCACCATGCAACTTGGACATGCTAGTAGAATTATTTGTGTCAGATTCATAATTAGCTATATAATTTGCTACTGGCCATGGATCAGAAATTTGTTGGAAAGACATGCCTTGAGAGCATAAGCTTATACTTAGCACAGTAACGAATTGAGTGGTTAGTTGACCATTCATGCTATTAGCATAGCAGTAATTGAAGCTTGCTGTGCCACGTTACTGATTTACTTCTGCTATAATCTGGCTTCAGAAAGCACTCCTGGCTTACTACTACTGCCTTAGTGCATCAATTAGTAAATTTTTGTCTTTGACTGTTTACATTTGCTATTAGGCAACAGGAGGAGGAGCTCAAACTATTGGAAGAGGAGACTGCAAGGAGAATTGAAGAAGTAATTCGTCAAAGAGTTGAGGAGAGATTGAGTTCTGAAGAAGTAAAGCTGGAAACAGAGAGGAGAATAGAAGAGGGTCAGAAGAAACTGTTTGATGACGTTGAAGCTCAACTTCAAAACGAAAAGGAAGCCGCCCTTTTTGAAGCGAGACAAAAGGAAGTAAGTGTCTATGAGGCTAGCTGATGATTTTTGTTGTCTTCCTTTCAAATGTTAAATGGCTGTTGATCATGATTTATAAAAGTTTTTTGGACGGAGTGGCATGCATCATACTTTTCTTTTTTCTTGTTACAAAGGCCATAGGCAAGAAATTAAATGAGGCCTTCTTAATACCTGGTATACTAATATAAATAAAATATATTATTTTGATATCATTTTTCATGCTTTTGAGATGCAAAAATGCTAGATAAGATTTTGTATCAAAGTCTGGAAGTGAAAATTCCGTTATTTGACGTCGAACTTAGATGCCTAATGGAATTAAGTCTGCTATTGGTTGAAGATGTACAGAAAGAAAATCTTTGGTTTTGTCGCAAAGTGAATCTTATTGGATGAATGGAAGTACAAATTTAAAATTCAGTATGACGGCCATGATTAAAGTTAGTTTCGAACAGTGAGCTACTTTTACCCACTTTGTTTTTTGTCATTAATTGTGTCATAAAAGATTAATTGAGTGAAAAATCTAAACCATATGAAAAAGGGTCTCGAATTTATTCTAATAAACAATTCATGATAATTAGGTGATTAAATGTGGAGTAGTTAAAAAAAAATGTGGAATAGTCAACCAATTTGATAATAAGACATCAAAAGTAACGTTTCAAAGAAAATTATGTTTTTATATATTATAAAATCAGATAAAAGTTTCATTTGAAAGCTCTAAGACAGTTTTTCATTTGGCCTAGGCCTAGGACCGACCCTGTTGGGAGTTGGAGGATAATGTTACCCCATCTTAAATGGTAAGACTAAGTACAATTGATGTAGGACATAAAAAATCAAAATTTGGGCTCTTTAAGGGATGTGAACAGTAAAAATGACTAGAAATCACTCTTAGGGTTCCTTAGGCATCACACCTAGGGTTAGAATTACATCACACAACTCAAGAAGCATATAATTGCTGAAATTTCTAAAATATCTCTCTGTCTTTTATTAAAAATATCACTAATTATATATAGAGTTTTAAGTACTCCTAATCCCAAAATATTAGGATTTCAAAGTTTTTAGGACTCCAAAACCTCTAGATCATTAAAAATTAGAAGACTAAAACAAACTACAATTAGGACTCTAAATTCTAGCATATCCAATGCTAGAGTTAACCCAAAAGACTATGACCCATTTCAAAAATTACAAAAATACCTCCGACCCTAAAAAATATTAAAAGGACATATAAAATACTAATACTAGCAAATTGACTCAAACTAACTTAAAATAAGATTCAAAATACAATTATACAAGATTTCATATGGATCTTTGTCTTGATGAAAAGTCAATTACATTATTTTTCACGTCTTCGAATTTGCGTTTTCTTAAGCATCTTTCGGATTGCATCAACAATATAAATATCTAAGTGTAATTTTATGATAAGTGCACAATTAGAATTTTTGCTAGAAGCTTTGGAAAGGTACTTGAGATGAAAATCTTGAGTTCTCGTTAAATCTCTTCTAGCACTATTGTTTTAGCCAAGAAAAGGTGTTTAGGAATGGATCAATGGTCCTTTAATAAAATTTTACATGGAGTATGGTCAACACCACCACATTTTTCCAAAATCTTAGTTCAAGGTCATAGTAGAGGTCAACTCGAAGGGCATTGTTTGCGGTGATGGTATTGGGGACCCATATAAAGTGATAAATAGAATAAACTTAATATGGCAAGAGATTTATGTCAGATCGTAGAAGATATTGGACTATACTTGGCAAGTCGTAGTTTGACGATTCGGGCAACTTAGTTGAGATGACCCCGTCAACCATGAGTTGAGTGAGACTCGCAGTTCACATGGAACGTGGACCAATATCAAAACAGAAAGGACAAAGTCAAATACAACTCGACCCATTATTTGAACCAAGTTCTAAGCCTCATGATTTTATTATTTTAAGGAAATATGGTTTCGAATCTTCTAGGAGGGTGATGCTAGGAATATCTTAGAATTTAAGTTTCAGAAAATATTTTTATTTTTTTCATTGGACTCGATGGAAGTACATCGATTCTAGATTCTAAGTGGTGGGTGGAACAACAATTATTATAGATAGCATGTGAAAGCACGTCTTTGCATATAAGTTTTTCGTAGACATGAAACTCCCAAAAAAGTAGCTGTGTGTTCTTGTTGGCAATCAATTGGACCTTTAGCAATTGTTCAGTAACCCATTAAAATTTTGTTTTTTCTACTCTTTTGACGAGGTAGTGTTACTGTTTTTTGATCAAATTATTGTCATTTTGCGTGAAGGGGGGGGGGAAGATGACTAGTGTTTGCCACATAGCGAAGAAGGGAGGGAGGGAGATGGTTCTACTGAGAAACCTTTTTGCATTTTTATTGTTAAATCACCGAGTGGAACACAAGATAATTCTTTTACAAGTCCCTTTTACTTTTCTGTCTCTCCCTCTGTCCCAGCCAAGCCTTGATGATCTTGGGTTGGACCCACAAGATTTTAAAATGTGTTGTCCAATGAAGATATAAAGCTCTCCCTTATAAACCACTCTTCACACACATCACCGTGAAATCTAAGTCAGAGACTATGGACTTGGAAGGTCAATTTGCATGACCTCATCTCCTCCCTGTGGATTACCTTAATCCATCCCCTTATGCCTCATGTCCTTGTGTGGACCCATTCCACAATATGTTTGGCTCTGAAACTACCCGGACCCATTATTGTACAGTATTGTCAGATTTGACCAGACCAACATGGCTTTAGGATTGTAGGATATAGGTCTAAAGCTGTCACTTATATGGCACTCTTCACACACTCCATTTGGGAGTGTAAGATGAAGACTATGGACTTGGCCCCAAGGACCTCGCACCTTACCTCACTTCATCTCATTTTATCTAATTTGGGTCACCACGCTCTTCTCTCTGTTTTCTCAATCTGCTGTTTGTTTGGTGTCAGTGTGCTCCTAGATATCGTTAAGAAAACATTGGCATGAGTCAATCACCTTCCAATCATAATGAAATTCAATTACAAGTCATGCACAAATGTGGCAGTGTTATTATTAATGTATAGGGTTGGAACCTCATGCATCACTGGATATTGAAAATCTATTTTGGCTTGTTTTTACTCACTACCAGCAACTCTTGTTGAATTTGCAAATGATCTTTGTCAGCGAAACTCAAACAATCGACAAACTTTTCTCTGCTTTATTGCTCCGTGATGGCGAGGAGTCCTAGGACAGTGTGGTGGGGTCAAGTGAACATAATGTTCTTGTCAAGGCTACATCAATTATTTTTTGTATTTTTTAAGGGGACCACCTATGTTTTTTTGTAGAATTTATTCTAGAATTTCATGGAAAGTACACAGGTACAAAGGAAAATTTTACTAATTTTGTGCTGGGACTGTAGGAAAATTCTTATAAACATCTAGCTCCCCGATGGATTCGGCAGAATGTAGAAAAAAGATAATCTGCACTTGGATAACGACTAGCCTTCCTTGTTTCTGGTTGATCAAATCTCTGGCAATCAGTTCACTTGATATGCTTATGTGTATTCAAGGGTTTTGCACTTGGAAGTATCAGAGTTGGTGTCACCATAAAGATAATTGAAAGAGGGAAGGCTTCAACAAAGAAAGAGAGAGGTGATAGATGGTGTTGGTGGTTTTAGGAAAATAAAACATTACAAGTAACCAACTCATTGTTTTTTTCTCTTTCCATCCTTCTGGATAGGTCTAACATTGGTGCCATGAGCTAGTGGACAGGACACAATAAACAATAATGCTGGAGAATGCTGCCAAACATTTTCTTTTCCTTTTGACTTCTAATCTGCGGCCTCCTAATTATCCTAGTAACCATATCCACTGCAGGCATGTGGTGCAGAGGTCCTTGCTTATTTATTTGCCATTTTTGTGGTTTTAGATGTTTTCTGTCCCTTGTTCCTAATGATACATTGATTTGATGAATCCTTTACATTGAGATTGTAAAAATTGCTTGATGTCACATCTGTTAAGAGTAATAGAGTAGTATGTGTAAATTATTAATAGTAAGAGGGTGTATGTGTAATTCTTATTATTGTGAGTTAATTATAAATACAAGTGATGTATGAGAGTTAGGTTAAGTTTTTAACCTCTCTCTGTTTTTCCCAAAATATTGTCTCTAATATTATGTTAATCTTTCAAACTTAACATGGTATCAGAGCAATTCGATCCTAAATACAAATCTTAGTCTGTTTGTGTTGTGAAAAAAAAAAAATCCCTTGGCTTGAAGTGGTGTCACTATAGTGGTGGTGTTGTTGTTGTGGTGGTGGTGCTCTAGCGTAGTGGTGGTACTACATCTGTGGTGGAGGTGTCCAGTGTACTGTTATTCCAGATTTGTGTGTCCTCTGTGGACTGCGATTGTGGTGGTCATTGACATCGGTGGTTTCTAGGTGGTTAGGGTGGTGCTGTTGTCGTCGATTGTGGTGGCATCGTTATGGACATCTAACCTGTTGTGGTGGTGTGCCATTGGGTCAACTGCGCTGCACAGTCGAAGCTTAAGGTTTCTCTTGAAACCCTAATCAGACGAAAAAGACGAAGTCCATTCAGATCTGTTGCGGGTCGGTTCCAGTCCAAGACCTGGTCCATCCCAAGATCCAAATCAAAACTGGTCCAGACCAGACCGGTTCAAGGTCGATTCAGTCCCGGTTTGGTCCATTTCAGGCTGGTTCAGTGTTTCAGGCTGGTTCAGTCCCGGTTTGGTCCATTCCAGTCCGGTTCAGTTAGTTTGGCACCTGTTCAAACCGGTTCTATCGACTTTCACCCCGATTCAGTGATCCAACAAGTTAAATTGGTCTCGTTCAGGGGTCCAGAGGGCTCAGCCTATCCGGTTCAGTGATCCAACAAGTCAAACCGATCCTGTTCAGGGGTCCAGAGGGCTCAGATTGTCTGGTTTAGCAGTCCAGCTCCCTTTTCAATCCCAGTTCAGTGGTCCACAGTCCAAGTTAGTCCCGGTTTAGTGGTCCAGCGCCTTAGATTGTCCGGTTCATCAGGCCAGCGCCCTCTAGTATCCGTTTTTTTTCTGGTTCAGCAGTGCAGTAGGTGATTCTTGTCCGGTTCAGTGATCTAGTGATTTTCTTTTTCTATTTGTTACACTTATGGAACCCAAGCAAGACACTGGGTTGGTTACTATTACACGAGAGGAGTATGCTCAGTTCTTGTCCCAGCAACAGGCTGTCCTATCTCCCTCCACCGTTACTTTTGCCCAGTCAGGTATTATTTCCACTTGTTTCTTGTCCTCCACTCCTAGTCCCTGGATCATAGACTCTGGCATTTCTGACCACATGACTGGTGCATCTGATATTTTTTCTACTTATCAGTCTGCTAATTCCACACGTAGTGTTACTCTTACTAATGGTACTTGTTCTAAAGTTTCAGGCCTGGGGACTACTCACTTGAGTCTTGATATGTCCCTATCTTCTGTGTTATTTGTTCCTCAGTTTCCTTTTAGTTTACTTTCCATTAGTAAGATTACCCATTCTCTGAATTGTTTTGTAACATTTTATCCCTCTTATTGTGTCTTTCAGGATCTCAAGACGAAGAGGAAGTTTGGTACGGGACATGAAGTTGATGGCCTATATTACCTTGACTTTGATTCACCTATCTAAGCACTACAGACCTTGTTGTCTCCTTTTCAATGGTATTGTCGTCATGGATATCCCTCTCTCCAGAATTCGAAGCGCCAAGTTCCCAGTTTTAGCTATGTGTCGTCTTTGTCTTATGAAGTTTGTCAACTTAGTAAGCATCATCGTGTGTCTTTTCAATCTAGAGTTAATAATCGTGTATCTAGTCCATTTGAGTTAGTACATTCTGATATATGGGATCCCATAAAGAATATTTTATCTAATAAATATCCTTATTTTGTGACATTTGTGAATGACTATTCTCGTGTGATTTGGTTGTTTTTTATGAAAGTTCGGTTTGAATTATTCTCTATATTTGAGACCTTTCGTAAATAAATAAAAACTCAGTATGGTTGTCGTATACGTATTTTACGTTCCGATAATGCTTGGGAATATGAATCTAATCATTTTTCAGCTTAGCTTAGTAAAATTGACATTATTCATCAGACTTATTGTGCTTATACCTCTCCACAGAATGGTGTTGCTGAACGCAAGAGCCGTCATTTGTTGGAAGTCACTTACGCCTTGTTATTCCAGATTAATATTCTCCGATATTTTTAGAGTGATGTTGTTCTTACTGTTTGTCACCTTGTTAATCGTATGTCATCCTCTGTGTTAAATAGGCAAAGCCTATATTTTGTTCTTTTTCCTGGTAAGCCTTTATTTTTTCTGACTCCTAAGGTTTTTGGATGTGTCTGTTATGTTCACAATTTGGGTCCTGGGTTCAACAAACTTGACCCTTGAGCTACCAAATGTGTATTTCTTGGTGACTCTCGCACGCAGAAGGGGTATCGTTGCTACAGTCCTTCTTTGTGCCGATACTTTACTAGTGCCGATGTCACGTTTGAGGAATCTGTTCCATATTTTTCAGCACCTTCTCAGCCTTTGGATCTGGACTTTGGGTCATCTCCTGTGCTACCATCTCTTTCCTCATCTTCAGATATTCCGCTGCCCATTGTGTTACCATTTACTTTACCTCTCCGTGTCTACTCTCGCCGTCCTCGCCCATCGATTAAGGTGTCGGTACTATCTTTCTTGCCGTTTCTAATCCTGGTACATCAGTTAATTTAGACTCTTTACCTATTGCTCTTCGAAAAAGTACTCGTTCGTGTGTTACTAATCATCTTATTGTTCATTTTGTTTCATATGATGTCTTGTCTCCTAATTTCTCTTGTCTTACTTCCAAATTATCTACTATATCTATTCCTAAGCATTTACAAGATGCATTATCTGATCCGGGTTGGAGGAAAGCTATAGAGGAGGAGATGGATGTCTTACATCATAACGGGACTTGGGATTTCGTTCCTTTACCTCTTGGTAAACGAACTGTTGGTTGTCGTTGGGTGTATGCTGTTAAATTTCATCCGGATAGTTCTGTGGAGAGTCTCAAAGTCCGGCTTGTTGCAAAAGGCTTTACTCAGACTTATGGTGTTGATTATAAGGAAACTTTCTCTCCTGTTGCCAAAATTTTGTCGGTTCATATCTTGATTTCTTTGGCTGCTAATCTTGATTGACCTTTGTTTCAATTAAACGTAAAAAATGTCTTTCTACATGGTGACTTGGTTGAAGAGGTATACATGGAGCAGCCACCTGGGTTTACTGCTCAGGGAGAGTATGGTAAGAGTGTATGTCGGTTAAAGAAATTTTTTTATGGTTTGAAGGAGTCACTGAGGGCATGGTTTGGTAAGTTTTCAGATGCAGTTTTAGAGTTTGGTCTTCTTCGATGTCAGACAGATCATTCTATGTTTCATAGACAGACAGATGTTGGATATGTTCTATTGATGGTCTATGTAGATGATCTTGTGATTACCGGAAATAATTCTGAGAGGATTGCCAAGTTAAAAATATTCTTGCAGGATCGATTTCATACTAAGGATTTGGGAAAATTTAGGTATTTCTTAGGTATTAAGGTGGCTCGATCTAAACAGGGTATTTGTTTATCCCAGAGAAAATATGTACTTGACATGTTCGAGGAAGCAAGTTTGCTGGGTGGCAAACCTATTGATGTTCCTATGGATCCGAATCAGAAATTTTTGATGGATGATGGTGCACTATTTGAGAATCCGGTCGGTATCGCAGATTGGTTGGGAAGCTTAATTATCTCACTATTACTCGATTGGATATTTCCTATTCAGTTAGTATAGTAAGTCAGTTCATGGGGTGTCCTCAAGTACCATATTGGGAGGCAGTTATTCGTATTATGCGATATCTCAAACGAGCTCCTGGACTTGGACTGGTATATCGAGTTAATGGACATCTTAGAGTGGAAGGTTTCTCAGATGCTGATTGGACTGACTCTCCTTCTGATCGAAGATCAACTACTGGTTATTGTACTTTTTTAAGAGGTAACGTTGTCTCATGGAAGAGTAATAAACAATCCGTGGTAGTAAGATCCAGTGTTGAGGCTGAGTATAGGGCAATGACGCATACGACGAGTGAGTTGACTTGGCTACTACACTTCCTCCAGGAAATTGAGCTTCCTGTTCAACTTTCTTTACAATTATTTTGTGACAATCAGACAACTATCCATATCGCTGTCAATCCGGTGTTTCACGAGAGAAGCAAGCATATTAAGATTGATTGTCACTTTATTCGGAACAAGATAGTAGTTGGGGAGATTACAACTCCATTTGTGAAATTTGAAGATCAATTTGTAGATATGTTTACCAAAGCATTGAGTCGTACACGTCTTACAGCGATTTGTTTCAAGTTTGGATTATATGATATATATAGTCCAGCTTGAGGGGAAGTGTTAAGAGTAGTAGGGTAGTATGTATAAATTATTAATAGTAAGAGGGTGTATGTGTAATTCTTATTATTGTGAGTTAACTATAAATACAAGTGATGTAAGAGAATTATGTTAAGTTTTTAATCTCTCTGTTTCTCCCAAAATATTGTCTCTAATACTATGTTAATCTTCCAAACTTAACAACATCAAATGATTAGGTTCACCCAAGGTTGGTTCACACATTGTCAATTGGTTTTTGTTTGGATTGCTTCTAACATGGCATCAGAGCCCGGGCTTGATGATTAGTTGGTTAAGTCTCTTGTCCATTTAATTTTCGGTATCCATATTTGTCTGATTGTTGGCCCATAGACGAGCCTGGGTCTCACATGAGAGGTTGTAAAGAGTGCTTGGCTCCCATGTCGAAAGTGAGGGCCAGTCAGGGTTGGTTCATATGATTGAGAAGCCTCTCCACTCATTTGAGCCCGTTTATTCTCTCCGTCTAAAGAGCCAATTATTTCGGTTGGACACCATTAATACAGATCATTCTACCAGCTGAATTTTTTAATCTATTATTGATTTCTTAACCTCTACACAGCCCCCTATGACACAGATCAATTGTTTGCAGTTGAAGGTTTTTTATTCTTTGCAGCTGCATATGTGGAAAATTTTGTTTAACTTGAAACCTCCCTTTTTCTGGTTTGTCATTTACTTTCTGACTTCTGAGTACAACTTGATCATATTATTAAATTCAACAGGAAAAAGCTAGAAAGGAGAGAGAAATGCTGGACAAGATGCTTGAGGACAATCAAAGGCGTGTAGAAGAGTCTCAGAGAAGAGAAGCTTTGGAGCAGCAGCGTAAAGACGAAGAACGACAGCGGGAGTTGGAGCTGATTCAAAGACAAAAAGAAGAGGCTGCTCGAGAGAGAAACTTGAAGAAAAGAAATGGGTAAATGAGATGAAGTTAGAGCTGGAATAAATCCTGGCCAAAGTTAACTAGCTTGTAGTTGTTTGGTCTGTTCTGTTGTGATGATTGCCTGAGATCCAAATTGTTTTAGTGAGAACTGGGGCCTATAAAGCAGGACGTTTAGCCAATGCTCGAGATTTACTTCTATAGAACTTCGTTTCAGGGATTAAGATGAGCATTCTAGCTTCCCATTCCCTACAAGGTTCTCTGATATGAAGTCAGGTTTGTCATCATATCTGTGTACAGGGTTGTCAAGCATGGTCTTGGGCATGATATTTGCTCTGTGATGCCACAGCTTGAAGATTGGAGAGAATTTGTTCTATTTTGTTTGTTGAAATCGTTGTTATGGAACCAAACAGGTTATATACCCTTGCATTGACTTTTTTATGAGATAGATGATGCGATACAACTGCGTTTACATCATTTAATGGATAAGTAGAATATAGGGCCTATAAATTTCAAACATCACTCATTTGGCTTTGGATTGATCTTTGCCTCTGGTTTCTAGTATGTATGTGGTGCTGGAACTTTTCCTTACCAAATCTGACACAGATTTTTACCATCAGATAAGTGAGCTCTATTAATATTCAATGACGGAGATTGTACCACTTCATTTGGAATGAAAGATTTGGTAAATATAGCATTTTTTACAACTTTTGTGAGTCATTTTATAACTAATTTTGGTACCGTAGTCAACTCCCTGTGTGATTTGTTATTGACAAATGTAAATGCATAAATTTACCATGGCAGCATAATGTTCGATAGAGGGCATTTATGCTGATAATTTTTTTTCGAGATTAACAACTAGCTAGCTTTACAAGGATGCTAATGGTTGTATATGGTACATCAATGGGATCTTTCCAAGGCTCTCTGTGTGTGTGATTTTTTTTTTTTTGGGGTGGGGGGGGGGGGGGGTTGGAGATTTTAGGGTGTTGTCAGACTTTTGCTTACATTATAAACTGTTACAACCCAAAGGGACGAGCTATAAATTTTGACTCGACGCTTTGAGTTTGAAATTTAACAATTTTTTAGGGTCAAATTATAAGGAATTTATCCTTCATGAATACCTTAGTCCCGGCATGGATGACCTGCCTTTGACCGCACTAAAGAGAGGATTAGTCAGGATATGTATAACCTAGTTCAGACACTAATGAACAATCCAATTTTGGTTGATAGTCTGAAGGCATTTCTTCCATGATGCAACACTATGCTATGGAACTAGAAAAACGTGACAAAGTGATAGATTAATAATGCCCTAGATCGTGCACATGTATTTCTGTTTCTTTACATATCACTGCCTTCTGCTCTTTTTTTTTATTTTTAGCTTGTTGAATCACTGATCATTGCCTTGTGAATGTATGAATGATTGTATCCTACTTATTTACTCCTCCTCACCAGTATGTGCTATTATGTATGTAGATTTTTCTGCACATAAATCATCATTTTTGGCTATGTATCATTGCAGCTGTAGATGGATGATCTTATATCTCATCCAAATAATTGTTGAGAGAGAGAGAGGCTCCTATAACCTAGTACAAAACACAATTTGCTATCGAGAGCTCTATTGTTTATTAGACAGCGACACGCAAACCAGTTGGACCTAGTCTAGTGACCATTCTTAATTCTTTCAAGTTCTCGCAAACAATCAGAAGACTAATTCTTGCCGACCACAATAATTGATTTCTATTCCTAATTTCGGTATTTTATTCTGCTCCCTTCTTGGTAAAGCTCTTTGTCTTTCTTTGGGTGTTTTGTTATCTCTTTATAGTTAGTATAAACGAATTATTTTTTATTGTAGTAGTGATTTACCAATATATCATCTCGATCCTCATCATATTGAATGAGGTTTGAGTATGGAGGAGGCTTCACTCCACGAGAAGATAAACCATCCCTTGAGGGCCCCACTTTACCAAACATCCCCTTTACTACATCATGTAGGTGGTGTGTCTGATGAGCTAACAATCCTTTCAGTGCAATTTAAGACACCCCAATTTGATTAAGCAAGAAAGTGCGAAACAGTTCAAAAATTTCTTTCACTAGTCCTCAAATTTCAGTTTTATTTTCTACGCAATGATGCATTCTCTACTATACTACATTGCAAAGCAAGTCAATAAAAAATAAAAAAAAAGATATATATATGCATCGAATGCACAGAGATATAGGGGCCCGTATAGGGTCTAGCTTGAACTAATGAGGATTATGTTTTAGATTTGATTCGCAGGAAGTAGACTATCAATTTGGTGTGGCTAGATTCCGGTTATATGTCAAGTTATGTTTAATCTCTCGATGGTAGTTCAAGTGATAACAAAGACAAACTGTAAATCTAAATGTCTTGAGTTTGAATCTTGACAATCCCTTGAGGCCAAGTAACGAAAGATTTATCTTTCACGAATATCCATTATGACCAAGGATCAAAATTTTGTTTCGATTCATCGTTTTGGTCACCTAAGAAACGGAAACGTTTCAACCCGTTTCGGAAATATAAGAAGAATTATTTTTTCAAAACATTAGTAAAAATATGTCAAAGTATCTTGAAAAATTCTGAAAGAATTATGCAAATGTATTGAAAGATTATAAAATACCTCGAAACATTATGCAACAGCTCGAAATATTATAATTTTGATTTCATTATTGATTTATTTCAGTCTCTTTAAAAACGTAAATGTTTTAGACGTTTCGATTGTTTTGAAACGAAATTTTGATTCTTACTTATTGCCCAAACTCTCCGATATATATATGTGTGTGTGTGTGTGTGTGTGTGTGTGAAGTCATGCTTAGGAAGCATATGTTAGTTCTCCCGCCTAGACTGGCTGAAAAAAAATATGTCAAGTCATGCTTAAGAAGCATATGTTAGTTCTCCCGTGTAGACCGGCTTCCCCAGCGGAGTAGGTTTTACACTGGTATGGGATCAAAAAGAAGGGAAAGACACCAAAAGACATACGAACAACGCTGTAAGGGATGAAACCCTCCACTCAGGATTTCGGCTTGACCTCCGCGCGTTCGGGAGTAGCCTTTACCCCTCTTCCTGAGCCGGAGCCCTGGCCTAGCCTAATGTGGGGAGGGCGCACCGTATCCCACATCGGAAGAGAGTCGTCTTCCCCCCTCGCATATAAGCCCTTGCACTCAAAGAGGAGGTACCCACTAGCGACCTGATCAGGTGACTAGTGGGTACCTCCTCCTTTGAGTGCAAGGGCTTATATGCGAGGGGGGAAGACGACTCTCTTCCGATGTGGGATACGGTGCGCCCTCCCCACATTAGGCTAGGCCAGGGCTCCGGCTCAGGAAGAGGGGTAAAGGCTACTCCCGAACGCGCGGAGGTCAAGCCGAAATCCTGAGTGGAGGTCGCTAGTGGGTACCTCCTCCTTTGAGTGCAAGGGCTTATATGCGAGGGGGGAAGACGACTCTCTTCCGATGTGGGATACGGTGCGCCCTCCCCACATTAGGCTAGGCCAGGGCTCCGGCTCAGGAAGAGGGGTAAAGGCTACTCCCGAACGCGCGGAGGTCAAGCCGAAATCCTGAGTGGAGGGTTTCATCCCTTACAAAAAGGCGCCTTTCTGTAAGGGATGAAACCCTCCACTCAGGATTTCGGCTTGACCTCCGCGCGTTCGGGAGTAGCCTTTACCCCTCTTCCTGAGCCGGAGCCCTGGCCTAGCCTAATGTGGGGAGGGCGCACCGTATCCCACATCGGAAGAGAGTCGTCTTCCCCCTCGCATATAAGCCCTTGCACTCAAAGGAGGAGGTACCCATGCAAGGGCTTATATGCGAGGGGGGAAGACGACTCTCTTCCGATGTGGGATACGGTGCGCCCTCCCCACATTAGGCTAGGCCAGGGCTCCGGCTCAGGAAGAGGGGTAAAGGCTACTCCCGAACGCGCGGAGGTCAAGCCGAAATCCTGAGTGGAGGGTTTCATCCCTTACAAACGCTATCGGGCCTAATTTAGTATTTAATTAGAGACTTAATTTAATATAGTTATTAGATTAGTTGTGAGTTATAATATTAAATGAAGATCACATTTAATCCAAGGATCGATGTATTGAATTAGATCCCCAAATAATATCTTAAAATTAGGTCCAAATAGTATTTTATAAATCAACACAATGACTAGTATTAAAGGCAAATTAATCTTTGTAACCCTATGAATAAAGTCACATATTTTCCTGTGCTTTATACCTAGCCTGACACTGACCTAAAACTACCTTATTCCAACAATGCTTTTTTTTTTATTCCAACAATTCTTGGAAGACAAAAGAGTCTAGTGTACAATGAGTAAACAAGTTAGACCACCACCACTTCAATTTAAATCTTCTTCAACTTGGAGTGTCTTTACAATTAATCCAATATAATTAGATCTATCTTTAAGTCTTAACTGCATTACCCATCAAATAGATGACAAACATTCCAGTTTTGGCTTTGTTACACAACAATGATCTTTACACCTTTATGTTACAACTTACAATTGACTTTGGGATCATGTGCACAATCACGATTGTGTCTAAATTGTGTCGTGTTGAAAGCCGTTCAACACTTGTCCAATGTGTTTCTAGTAGTGCAATCAGATTTGTGTCATGTTTTCCATTATTTTTAGCTGGTTTGCCGTGTCCCATTATTAAGCGGGTCTATTTGGTACACTCGTTTACTATCCAAGCTTGTCATTCCATAAATTCAAATTTGTTAATTTCATAGCAAGTTATGCGTAAAATGGCACGCCTAAATCTAAAGGTGAGATGAGGGAGGAGTGCCCCAATACTAAGTACTCACTCTTCTCAATAGGTGATCGTGGGTTCAAATCTTATATTCTTCCTTTCCTCCAAAAAAGAAAAAAAATATTATAAAATTCAAATGAAATCTAAAAAATTATAATCTTAATGCATGTCATCTCTAGGATGAGTGGGTCTCATCAATTTTTTTCAGTGGGACTCACTCATTTTATATTTATTTAAGGGATGATATGTATTTAGATTTTAACTTTTAAGTTTTATTTGGGTTATGAAGCATTTTCTAAAAAAGAAAAAGAAAAAAAAGGGTTGAGTTAGCTAAGCTGGTGAACAAAGTTTGCGGTATTCTCACAGGATTGTAGCACTGAATCTTCTCGTCTTCCCAACAACCACACCAATGACTCCGTCACAAGTGCAACAGCCCAGGTGATATCTCACCTTCCCCTAATTTCAAAATGCTAATGCTATTGAGACATAATTGAAGAATATAATGAGTTGTCACCAATGAAATGATAGTAAAATATATTTAATAATAAGTCCGTTGTAACATTAAATGAATTCATTATCATATCATTGGTGACAACTCATTATATCCTCAAATTATTTCTATAAATTACGTCTCAATAGCATTGCTCATTTCAAAATGTTTATGCTCAACTGTATCACTATCTTCTCCTCTATAATCTCCTAGTCTCCTCACAGCCTCCCTCACCTTCTCCCTTATTATTAGAAAGCTCCTTAGAAACCATTCCATATATTCCACTGTTTATCTGTAGGCCTTTTCTTTCATCACACCTTATATATATATATATATACAAGTAAACATTATTTTCTCACAATCAAGCTTCATTCTGTCTATCCTCATGGCTACATCACAGTTTTCTCTCTCTCCAATGATACTTGTAGCCCTTGCCTTAATAGTGTTCTTCATTACACCGACGTGTTCAACGTCCAGAGGCGCCCTCAATCACCAAACAGTGCAAAATGGTTTCCGTGTCACTCTAAACCACGTTGATTCGGGTAGAAATCTGACAAAATTTGAGCGTTTACAGCGAGCAATGAAGCGTGGGAGATACAGATTGCAAAGATTGAGTGCAATGGCTTTGGCAGCAACAGATTCCGAAGTCAAATCTCCAGTTCATGCAGGGAATGGTGAGTTTCTCATGCAATTATCAATTGGGACACCACCAGAATCTTTTTCTGCCATAATGGATACTGGCAGTGATTTGATATGGACTCAATGCAAGCCCTGTACGCAGTGTTTTGATCAGCCAACGCCAGTTTTTGATCCAAAGAAGTCATCTTCTTTTTCGAGTCTTTCGTGCTCAAGCGAGCTCTGTGCAGCATTGCCAGTGTCAACCTGTAATAATGGCTGCGAATACCTGTATATGTACGGAGATTATTCATCAACACAAGGTTTATTGGCGACGGAAACGTTCACTTTTGGTAAAGTTTCAATTCCAAAGGTTGGGTTTGGTTGTGGGAAAGATAATGAGGGAAGTGGATTCACACAAGGTGCAGGCCTAGTTGGACTAGGGCGTGGACCGTTGTCGCTCGTTTCACAGCTCGAAGAACCCAAGTTTTCATATTGTCTAACTTCAATTGATGATACAAAAACTAGTACCCTTTTGATGGGGTCTCTTGCTAGTGTGAGCTCCACAGGCAATTCAATCAAAACCACCACTTTGATCAAAAACCCTTCACAACCATCTTTTTATTATCTTCCACTTGAAGGGATCACAGTTGGTGACACTATCTTACCCATCAAGAAATCAACTTTTGCACTCAATGAAGATGGGAGTGGAGGCATGATTATTGACTCTGGTACTACAATTACTTACTTAGAAGAAAGTGCTTTCAATTTAGTCAAGAAAGAGTTCACTTCTCAGATAAACCTTCCGGTGGACAATTCGGGCTCGACTGGCCTTGATCTTTGTTTCACCTTGCCATCCGACGCCAGTAACATAGAGGTTCCAAAGTTGGTGTTCCAGTTTGATGGTGCAGATTTGGTTTTGCCAGGGGAGAACTACATGATTGCTGATTCAAGTTTGGGTGTGTTGTGTTTGGCAATGGGAAGTTCAAGTGGAATGTCCGTCTTTGGAAATGTCCAGCAGCAGAATATTTTGGTGCTCCATGATCTTGAGAAGGAGACCATTTCATTCATTCCAACACAATGCAGTCAGTTGTGAGATTATGTTATTGATCATCTTGGGTGTGTCTGTTGTTTGTGTGGTTGCATTGTTTTCTTTCGATTTATTTTTAGCTCCTATAAACAATTTGGTTCAGTAAGATCAAAATCTATGCATGTACTTGATTGAATTCATAGGGTTGAAAGCTTCATATTTGCTAAAGCATGAGTAAAGTTCTAATTAAAAAGAGTAATGTTATTGAAATCTAAAAAATTAAACCAATTTGTTTACATAATAAGAAGGTGATGATGTGGTTCAATAGTGTTGTTACTTGTTATGACTGTAATTCTTGGATTTCTTAATTAAGACTCTATCGCTTAATTCATGATTATGTCGGTAAAATAGATCAATTTTTTAGGTCTCAATAACATTTCTCGATTAAAAATCTAGGTATCTTTGTCTTAATTGTGTTGAAATAATTATCGCATATGAAAGGGGGAATAACCTAGTAGTTTGGATAGCCTTTGGGGATGTTTGTAATATAAGTTTTTCGATCAATAAAACTAATTTTACCAATACAAAAACATATAATTAGGGTCTTGTCACTTGATGACTATTACATATAACAACCCCCCACCCTCCAAAAAAGGAGAAAAAAAAACCTAGAATCCAAAAAGAAACACTTTAGCGTCAATGATATAATTGATTTAGTTATTTGTTTTTCTTTCCTTATTCTCCAAGGAGCTTATCTAATGCAGGTTAAACTAATGCATCATGTACCTACTTATTTATACATGGGGACTAATGGTTGCTCAACTGCCTGACCACCAGTACAATGTATTTTATCACCCTTACTATTTTTGCAAATTAAATGCAACAAGAAGTAACATCAGTATGAAAATTAATGCATGGTTGCTCAACCTCCTAACCACCATTGAAATGTGTTTTATGGGTCAACAATATTGAAGCATTATATAGAAGAATAATGTTACGTGAACCTAATTTACTAATCTAATGTAAGATAAAGTTTACTATCAATCCAACAGTTGAAATAGATTAGATTAATGAATTAGCTCCAAATAGTATTACTGTATAGAAAAAGAAACAAATAATAAGCATATTGTCACTTAACTAGCATGAAAATGAAAAAAATTCCTAATCACCGTGGTCATATGCTTCTTACCATTAGAGGTTGTTCAACAGTATCAATACCTTAGCACGTTGGCTTCAAAAGAGAGGAAGAGCTTGACCTCATCATTTAATGGTTTACTTTTGGGAAAAATAGGTCAGAAAAATGAGAATGACTGACAAACATTCAACCAAATAATCGTATGATACTTCTTTCCCAATTGCTTTCTAAATAGTTTAGAAAGTGTGTTACATTGCAGACAACGAGTATTATTTCAATCTAATTTATTGATTCAATTCGCAATCCTAATCTATTGTTGTCAATAGATTAGTTATTAGTCTCAATATTTAGTGAAAGTATGATATCAATCTAACTCATGTATATTAAATTAAATCGACAAACTAAGCACACACAACAATATTGAATGATTGGGAATATTTTTGTTTCGAGATATCGTTATGGTGCAAATCTTGGTAATTTTTGAAGCTCCTGGAGGACTTTGACTTGACCCTCCATAACAAGGTCCAAATTAGGTTTGCTTTAATCTTGTAGAAAAGGACTTTGACTTGACCCTCCATTACATTGAATTAGGTTCCATATTAGGTTTACATAGCATTACTCTTGTAGTGTAAGAGAGAAAGTTAAAGGTAAGCCTTTGAAAACCCATTTATTGTGAGATTGTTTGTTTTCAACAACCGATGTGTGTCAACATTTGCCTCTTGCTCACACTAGCTTGTGCATGTTGGCAAAGTTTACTCGACAATTTTTATTTTTGTCCATACCAACACTAGCTTATGGATACCCACAAAATTGGTGTCAATGGACCTGTGCATAAGTACATGACAAATTTGATCATACAAACCTAACTTAGGCCGAATAGTTTGACAAAGTAATATCTTTCGGGCCCATTAAGAGGTTGGTTACACCTTGTCGAAGGGTTAATCCACAATGCTCCTAGGTGAATATTAAGAGGCCCCATGTTGCCTCAAGGTGGAATCTACATTAATGAATATGTGATAGCTCCAGTATGCCTGCTACTGTCCTCTACATTTTATCTGACTACTTCTTGTCACCTTATTGGGTAGAATCACACCTTACCATTCATTTTAGACGTTCTTGAAGTCATTCAAAGGGGTCGACTTTCATTTCTCCCATCTCCCAATATTATGTATATAGTGATAATTTCCATCAATGTGTCTTAAATGGAATGCATACACATTGATTGGTCTACTAGGAATACCCAAATTTCAAATTATATATCAACGAGGAATTTAATCCTACCATGATTACGCAACACAATACTTTTTTGTTAATAACCAAGAAACATTTGGAACAAGAATAAATGATTGCTTAGAGATATACCCTTTCATTCATATCCCCTACGGAATCTACATATGCATAGCTAACAATTCCAGTTCCTTTAACCCAAAGCATAATTTCAAACCTATTTTCCTTTGAAGTATTTGAGCATTCTCATAATTGTGTTTCCCCATCTATACTAGGGCCCATACTTTTATTTAGATATTGATAGGAATCAATTTTTCCTTGATGAGACTTGCATGTATTCAAAATAAGACAATTTATTATCACTATGATCTAGTAGAGATCCTCGATCCTTACACTTTTTACAACTATTGAAGATATCTTGCAGATGAAAACTAAACCTAACAACAAACGTATTACAAAGTCTTCCCTATTTATTAACTTGGTATTTTAGGAAGCACACACATTAAGTATGTCAGTACGTGATTAGAGCTTCACTCACACGAACAATCGTTTTTGGTACTTTAGACAGGGAGCAAAGATAAAATACTATAACATATAATATCTCTATGTTCGTATATAGAATGAGATCTGACGTTCGATAGTCGATAATGAACACAACTTCATTGCGATTATACTTGTTTTTTTTATGGATTAGCTATATGCGAGATCTTAATTTGGTGCATTTGAAATGAAAGAAAATAGAGAATTTAGGTTAGAGACTTGCATAGTGATTAGCTTAAGGTCTATACGGTGAGTGAGTATGACTTACTCTCTTATTGTCAAAACACTCGACTTCATCATGTATTTTATGCTACATGTTCTTGGCAATTGATTAAGGAGGTGAAGGAGCGCATCCCTACTTCCTCACCGTGTGAGTTCTCTTGGTCTTTTTCACAGGCCAATGTTATTTTTTTATGACCAAAACATTTTATGCACTCTTTGACTTTTAAATGTCTCATAAAGTGAAAGAATTAATGATTAACTGCTTTGGTATGCTATCTACGACCATGTGTGATTTGGCCTTCTGAGACAAATACTGGGGAAGTAGTTAGGTTTGACCTAAATGGCAAGAGTGCGAAGGAAAGACCATTAGGAACATCCCAAGATATATTCATTATCGACGACTGTAGGCGTTATGGTACATAATGACAAAGTATGAATATATGGACAAAAACTTCTTAGGGGTAAAAATGCTTGTGAGGGATTAGAAATGTTTAACCAATTTATTCGAATGGATTTAGAGTACTTGAGACACCATCTATATGTTGGAGTTCTTAGTGTAGAACTCCCAAATTACAGGTGTTCTCAGCGATCGCACAATCAATTAGCCTTATGAACTGACGTTAGTATGTCTAATAGATTGAGAGATAGTAATGTCGTGCCCACCATATGCAAGTGAGGGATGTCATATATCATTTGGGTCATGGATCCAAATGGAACACCTATAGTGGGCCAAACCAATTGAAGAATGCCCAAGAGACATGTCTTTTAGAAGTCTCTTATTATTTGGAGGATATGTTCCATAAGAACTAGCAGCCATAACCTTACATAAGATGTCTCTTCATGGCACCCATTGTTTGCTTATGTAAGTTCAGTTATCGCTAAAAAAAATTGAGATCAATCCTTAGATTATTTTGATGATAAGATTGACCTTGACACTTTAAAATCAGTCTCAAATAATCTTATTTTGTCTTAATTTTACCAAATTACATCGTAACCTAAACAAAAATTGGACCGTAACTTTTGATACATTACAGAAGAATAACCCCCGCAATCATATTCTTATCCTAATTTTCATGTTCTATTGTAAACTCTTGGGCATGTACCTTGTGACCATTTTTATGTGATCTTGAAGAATGTGTACCTCTCTCTCTCTCTCTCACACACACACAGAGCTTTGTACGAACGTTTGACTTATTAAGTCATTTAGTTTTTAAGACCATACAATGTCGGTAGTGGGGGTAATTTTTTAGGTTTTGTGGTTCGCTATGATTGTTGGGAGTCAAACCACAATTGCTGGTTTATACATCATTGACTTCAACTGACAATTGATTGAAATCAGATTCTCAACTATTGAATGCCATCCAGTTGTGCGTTGTCATACTTAGATGAAGGGATAGACTTTATAGCTATGTAACATATGAGGATAAAAAGTAAGCACCTCTCAATCCGCCATATATCTTGAATTCTTAACTTCATGTCTTATTTGATACATTCCTATTAACTTTATGAGAATAGTTCATAAGTGATTGCATGTATATCTCATATGTATATTTTAACCAAGAGTTTAAAAGATATATAGTTGCAATGATGAACTAGCCAAACATTCAAAGAAATAGTTCATTGACTTAATAATCCTGATGGGCCCGGTTTAGAACAAGCTCAAAATTATGAATCAGACTCATAGTCACAATCAAGGTCCAACTCAAAGGCCTAACTACTCATGAAAGGCTAGGAATGAGGAAGTTAGATCAACCAAGCTATCTTCAGATAGGGTCAAGTCTGCCACCCCATGATGAAAGATTCGGTCCATAACTAATAAACGGAGTGATCTCCTTGGGACGCATAGGTCACCACCTCTACGTAATTGTCTCACTTGTTACGAGACGGACACCACCTCTATCAAAATACTTCAACTGATACGAAAAAAACGCCTATAAATTGTAAGTCCGACCTACACAAGAGGGGCATTACACACATATCTCTCACATTTGAGTACCCTACACTCCTTGAAACAATTAAACATCTAGGTCATCCTAATCATTCACAGTGGAATAGGTCACATTAACCGAACCATTTAAACTGTGCATTACTTGTGTTGACTCTCCTCATTTATTACTATATTAAATACTTGACATGTGGTGCAAAAATTCACTTTTATGCATTATCAAATCCTATAACTCAAAAAG